GCAGGACAAGAAGCAATGGGTGGAAACTAATCAAGGAGAGAAGCAACCTAGAACTATGGAGAAATTTCCTGACAATTAATACCATTAATCAGTGGAACAGCTTGCCTCCAGAAGTTGTGAATGCTCCATCTCAAGAAGAGATTGGACAACCAGTGTGATTGGAATGGTACAAGATCTCTCCTTCTTGAGGGGGGCGGGGGAGGTATTAGATTGGAAGACCTCCAAAGTCCCTTCCACTTCTATTATTCTGAGAAATAGAATATTCAAGAGTAAGATCTCTGTTTTATCCCCATTACATGGACCAGACCAAAAATTCAACTCCAGAGGAAGGCTAAAAGTACTTTTATTAAGACAGGCTTTTGCAAGTTTGATTGTGTCCCCCTCTTCCTTCTTGTGTCCCATATGAATCAGGGAGGAAACTGCTCAAGCATTTTGCAAGTGTTATCTCATAGTAATGGATTTTTTTTAAAAAAAATTGCCCCTTTTACCTGGGTAACAGTTCCTTCATATTTCTGTCAAGGTCATTTTTCTTTCTATGCCAGGGGTGTCAAACTCAAGGCCCGTGGGACTGCCATGGAAACAGTGAAGAATCTGCTTGCTGGGGCCTCTGCCAGCAAAAATGGAACTTGGGAAGTCTACAGATGGCCTTCCCAAACTCAGTTTTCGCTGGCAGAGGGTTGCAGGAGGCCGTCGCAGTGGAAAACGGAGCTTGAGAGCCCGTTTTCGCTGGGAGAGCGCTTGGGCCACCACGGGCGCCCCACGACACGAGTGACGACGTGGTCAAACACAACCCTGATGCGGCCCTTGATGAAGTTGAGTTTGACATCCCTGTTCTCACTCAGCAGAAGCATCTCTTTGCCATGCTGGTAGTCATGAATGGAGGGCATGGTTGAAATGTGCCAACTCACTAGGGCAATGCATTCAACCTGTAGTTGGCTCGTGTCGATGTTGCTGAACCCAACATTGGGATGCGTGTTCTTTGCAACAAAAACAATCTGGAGAAGAGCTTCGAGATGGAAATTTCCGTGCATTCATTAGAGCCCTCTCCCACTTTTCTCCCTTTCAGGCCAATGTGGTGTGCATGGTCTATGACGTCACAGAAGAGGCCACCATTGACAAGGTAACATCAACAGGCCTCTAAGCTGCCCATTCACAAGTCCACCATTGCACTGCTCCCTGCTTTGACTTTCCTAGGCAAGGCCCTATGAATGTTTGTGTTGTGGCCTGCAGTTGCAGGCCTCTCTAGTAGCTCAGTCAGAGGAGGCGTAGGAGGTGGCATTGGAGTTAGGCTCAGCAGCAAGGCAACCTGAGAGCTCAGGGGGAAGAGGGAATGGAGCTGGCAGAGACGGAGTCTTGGCCATCCATCAGCCTTCAGTTGGAGAGTCAACAGCTCTCGGGTGGCTGAGGAGGAAGAGGAAGAACAGCTGGGTCCAGTGCCTGATGCGCTGATGCGCAGAAGGCAGAGGAGAGGAGAGCAGTGGAAATATATGAGCCGGTCCTTGGCAAGGAAGAGCCACTGCTGCTAGCGAAGCCCCACCCTAACTCCGGGGATAAAAGGCAGGGGGTGGGGATGAATAGATGTGGCAGACAACTATGCATCTTCTGGCCGGACGGCCTTGTTAGCCATCGTTGAAAGAGAAACTTTTTCCCAGGGCATTTCTAATAAAGGAGTCTTTTCAGTTCACTTCAGAGGGTTTGTTGTGTTTGGGGAGCTGGCTCAGAACAATTCATGTGTCAGCATTCCAAATATCATGCAGAATTAAATCAGAGTTCAAGGCAGAGCTATCCTTAAAGTTCCAATTTAATAAG